CTCAGATTCTCCAGCATCTGCAGTTCCTACTATCTCTAACTAAAGTTCACTGCAGCTGCAACATGACCTGCCACTTTTTATGCTGTCTGCCCTGACCAATGAAGGCAAGTGTACCATGCCCGTTCTAGACCACCTTATCCTCCTGTGTTGTCATTTTCAGGGAACGGTGGACGTGTACACCTGATCCCTCTGTATGTTAATACTTCTGAGGGTTCTGCCATTTGCTGTATACTTCTGTCCTGCATTAGACCTTCCAAAATCCATCACCTCGCCTTTGTCCAGATTAAAGTCCATCTGCCAATTCTCCGCCCAAGTCTCCAGCCTATCTATATCATGCTGTATCCTCTGGCAATCCTCCTCACTATCTGCAGCTCCCGCAATCTTTGTGTTGTACACAAACCTTCTGATATTTCCAACAAAAGATGACATCTCTGACAGTGCAGTACCTCATCAGAATCGTCAGGTTCTAACTCCATTGCTGGAGCAGGACTTGAATCAAGAACCATTCCAATTGTGCCATCTTTGAACCACAGCTGGTGCTTAACACTGAGAGAGCAATCGGCACAGACTTACTGCTAGCTGGGATATCATTAATGTTTATTAAAATCCAATCCCCTCCAAGCCCTGATCTGTGAGGGACTTGGAATGACTCTGAACAGCTGGGTCAATGAGGTGCTGACACCAGTCTTCCCTGAATGAGGCTAAAGCCCGCTTATCGTTCAAATGTTGACCCTGAGGCAGCTGCCTGTCTCTTCCATCTGCCTGTTTTTTGTTGTCAGGGCGATGGGTCATGCTGTGCACCGACCATGACGGAGGAAGGAAGGGGGGAAATGAGCAAACAAAAGCTCAGGCTGCGACCCTTTCCAAAGAATAGGTCACAGGAGCCACAGGCCAAAGGTCAGCCCATTCACAAAGTTAATGAACCACAGCACCTGGCTTGTGGCTTGGACCAGGGATTGACTCTTCAGACGGAGCCATTCTGCAGGCAGCTTTAATCGCGAGCCTCGTCTAAAGAAGGTACGAATAAGTCAGGGATAATTAAAGGCCATTTGAACTATTGATTGTTAGTCACACACACGATGGTGTTTGCATACAGCTGCTCGTTGAACTGAGTTTAATTTGGTCTCCGCCAACCTGTCGTTTCTGCCAAAATGAAGATCTGAAACAAAAAACAGAAATTGCTGGAGAAACTCAGCAGGTCTGACATCCTCTGTGGAGAGAGAAAGAGAGTTAATGTTTCGAGTTCAGTGACTCTTCTTCAGAAGACAGAGTGGCTCAGTGGTTAGCACTGCTGCCTCAGAGCGCCAGGGACCTGGGTTCAATTCCACCCTCAGGTGAATGTGGGGAGTTTGCACATTCTCCCCATGTCTGCGTGGGTTTCTTGCGGGTGCTCTGGTTTCCTCCCACAGTCCAAAGATGTACATGTTAGGTGGATTGGCCATGAGAAATGCAGGGTCACTGAGATAGGGTAGGGTGGGATGCTGTTCAAAGGGTCCATGTGACTCGATAGGGCTGAATGATCTGCTTCCCGCACTATTATATGATTCTATAACTTCAGTTCTAAAGAAAGGTCACTGGACTCAAAACGTTCATTCTTTTTCTTTCTCCACAGATGCTGCCAGACCTGCGAGTTATTCCAGCAATTTCTGTTTTTGTATAATTTCTTCCACTTTTACCAAAAGAGACACCACTCCCCCCTTCCATTCCCCACATTACAAGCCTGATAACCCTCTGGGAATTCTCCAATCCTGGCCTCTTGCTAATCCAGCCCCCAGCATGCCATTCAAACCACTGTTGGTCATCCTGTTCTCAGTCACATAGCCTTTAACTCTAAAATTCCCTCCCTACATCTCCCTCCTGTATCATTTTCCTTAAAATCTAGGTCCCTGGTGCTGTGAGGCACTGTGACCAAGATTTTCACCTAATCTTTTTGGCACAGAGCCTGCTTTCACCTGGTTGTGTTCCTGTATAAACCCTCCGGATGATTCGCGACATTTATTGGCCCAGTTATTCTTGCTGGACATGTGGGATTGAGAGTTTGGGGGGAGCATCAATCAGTCGTCAGTGCTGGTTCGAGGATTTCCACAGCGGGAGTAAATCATTTTGCGTTGTTTGATTTTAAGTTCTTTGCTGTTTGTTTGCCAGCAGGTGAGACACAAAATACTCAGACCCAGAGATCAGTTGGATTTGCTGTACACTTGTGGAACGTTTAACATCCCGAAATGTTGCCAAGGGACAGATTTCTCCTGAACACTGGCTTGGTGCTTATTGTGTCACTGTGCCACCTGGTTACATCCATTGAAGTCCCCCTAGATCGTAAGTACCACAAGACAGTAAGTGAGATAGTAAGACAGTAAGTGTGTCATTGCAGCAACCAATGTGATTACGCTGAGAGTTAGGTTGGAAAACTCCAAAGTCCATTTTTCCTTACCGACTCAGCTGCCCGTTTATATCAGTGTGTATTAATAAGCAAGTAAATTAACAAGCTATTAATATTAATGCATAGCTTTTGTTAATAATCGCTGTGTTAATTATCAGGGTGTGTTAACAAGCAGTTTATATTCATAAACACGGTGTGTTATTAATTAGTGTGTATCAATAAGTGTGTGATATGCAGAGTTTATTAACAAGGGTAGAGCCTTAATAGACCATGTGTTAACAAACAAATTTTATTAACAAGCAGTGTAATTAATGTGAAAGGAATATTAATAAAGAGTGTGTATTAATAAAGAATGTGTATTAATAGTGTCTGTGTGTAGACATGGTCATAGCTCGTGTTACTAACCTGTTTATTTCCTCACCTCTTATGCCCCTTCAATTTGCCAACAATGGGACTAAAGCAAGCCTTCGGAGAGAGTGTAAGTTCTTACCATTTCTCGTTATGTCTGTTACTCACAAGTGTCCTATGGAGGACACTTACTGTCCTTCCTTCAGTTCTGCAGAGAAAGGGTCATTGGGGTTGAGACAGACAACACAGAAGCAGTGTTATTGAATCAGGCTCTAAAGCTTTGGAAATGCACAGGGCTAGTGAAAAGTCCCGGAGCTCGAAGCCAGGGCTACCCAGGGCCTGGGAGCTCCTCTGAACATTCCTCGACCCTCAGAATTCCTTTGAACATTCCTGTCCTACCTTTCTACCTTCCCGACTCTTCCCCTTGCTCTTTACTGTAAAACTGAACTTGTAACTCCCTCCATTCTACTTTCTGTTTTCCCAGAAGCTTAATAATTGTATCACTGTCTTGACCTTCCATTCTTTTCCTTGAATCTAAAACCAAAATTTGCTATTAAATCTATTACCAAAAGGGGGATCAATTTATTGCCTGAGAGAGCATTAAGAATGTAGGGGTCTCTGTGAAGCACGCTGAGGTTCTTCCTAAAAGGACAGTAGACCAGTACATCAGAGAAAAAGGAACAGAAAGATGGCACACATGAGATAAAATAAACATGCTTGAGAGTTAAGTCCATCAAACTTGCTGTACCATTTAATAAGAGCCTGGCTCATCAGATTAGATCGCAAGACCATTAGATATAGGAGCAGAATGAGGCCATTCAGCCTATCAAATTTGCTCTGCCTTTTGATTGTGGCTGATATGTTTCTCAACCCCATTCTCCTGCCTTCTCTTCATAACCCTTGATCCCCTTAACCATCAACCCTAATCCATCAATCTCTGTCTTAAATACATTCAGTGACTTGCTTCTGCAGCATTCTGCAGCAATGAGTTCCAATAGATTAACCACCCTCTGGCTGAAGAAATTCCTCCTCATCTCAGTTCTAAACAATTGTCCCTTTACTCTGAGGCTGTGCTCTCAGGTCCTAGTCTCTCCTACCAGTGGAAACACCTTCTCCATGTCCACTCTATCCAGGCCTCTCAGTATTCTGTAACTCGCAATCAAATTCCCCCTCACACTTCTAAACTCCATCGAGTACAGACTCAGAGTCCTCAGCCGCTCCTCATGTCAAGTCTTTCATCCCCAGGATCACATCTTGTGAACCTCCGCGGGACCCCCTCCAATGCCAGCGCATCCTTCCTTCGATACGAGACTCAAAACTGCTCACAATATTCCAAATGAGGTCTGACCAGAGCCTTGTTCAGCCTCAGCAGTACATCTGTGCTCTTATATTCCAGCCCTCTTGAAATGAATGCTAATGTATTGTTGCCTTCCTAACTGCAAACTGAACCTGCATGTCAACCATACCAGAATCCTACACCAGGACCCCAAGTCCATTTGTGCTTCAGATTTCCAAAACCTTTCCCCGTTTAGGAAATACTCTCACCTGTTTTCTTCCTTCCAAAGTGCATAACCTCACACTTTCCCACATTGTATTCTGTCTGCCACATCTTTGCCCTCCCTCGGCATGTCCAAGTCCTTCTGCAGTCTCCCCACTTCCTCAACACTACCTGTCCCTCTACCTATCTTTGTGTCATCTGTAAACTTAGCAACAATGACCTTCATTCCTTCATCCAGATCATTAATGTACAATGTGAATAGTTGTGGTCCCAATACAGACCCCTGTGGAACTCCACTAACACCAGCTGCCACCCTGAGAAACACCCCTTTAACCCTATTCTCTGCTTTCTGCCAGTCAGCAAATCCTCTATCTTGCCCCTAAGACCACGGGCTCTTATCTTATTTCGCAGCCTCCTGTGTAGCACTTGGTCAAATGCTTTCTGAAAATCCAAATAGATCATCACAACCACTGGCTCTCCTGTGTCTAACTTGTTTGTTACCTCCTCAAAGAATTTTAACAGATTTGTCAGGCATGACCTCCCCTTGACAAAGCCATACTGACTCAGCCGTAGTTTACCATACACTTCCATGCATTCTGCAATCTCATTCTTCATAATAGATTCTAAAATCTCACCAATTTACTGACCTATAGATTCCCGTCTTCTGCGTCCCCTCACTTTTAAAACACGGGTATTACGTTAGCCATTTTCCTTGACTTCAGTGATTTCTGAAAGATCTCCACCAATGTCTCTACAATCTCCTCAGGTATCTCCTTCAGAACTCTGGGGTCTGGTCCATCTGGTCTGGGTGATTTATCCACCCTCAGACCTTTCAGCTTTCACACTATTCCTCCTTCATGATGGCCGTTACACTCACCTCTGCCCCTGACTCTCTTGAAGTTCTGGTATGTTACTGGAACCTTCCACTGTGAAAACTGATGCAATGTACCTATTCAGTTCCTCTGCCATTTCTTTGCTGCTCATTACTGCTTCACCAGCCTCATTTTCTGGTGGTCCAATGTTCACTCTTTCCTCTCACTTGCTTTTTATATACTTAAAAAAAACTCTTGCAATCTTCTTTTATCTCATCTCCTGCCTAACACTCATTTTTCTTCATCCATTCATGGACTGTGGGCATGGCTGGCTGGTCCAGCATTTATTGCCTGTCCCTAGTTGCCCTTGAGAAGGTGGGGGTGAGCTGCCTTCTTGAACCGTTGCAGTCCACCTGCTATAGGTAGACCCACAATACCATTGGGGAGGGAATTCCAGGATTTTGACCCAGTGACCAATGAAGGAACGGCGATATATTTCCAAGTCAGGATGGTGAGTGGCTTGGAGGGAAACTTGCAGGGGGTGGTGTTCCCATGTATCTGCTGCCCTTGTCCTTCTAGATAGAAGTGGGTTCAGATTTGGACGGTGCTGTTGAAGGAGTCTTGGTGAACTGTTGCAATGCATCTTGTAGATGTTCCTTCGATTCCCTTGTTGGTCTGGAATCTATTGATCTAATTCTTAAAAATGTTCAATGACCCTGCCTCCGGCATGCTCTGGGAAGAGAATTCCACAGAGCAGTAAAGTCCACAGTCTGTTGTGTAAATGTCAGCATAGAAGAAATGAGCCAACTGGTCTGTTTCTGTAGGATGTATCCCCTGCAATTCTAATTTGGACAAAGGAAGTTCTGGTAGACTGTGTTTCTATTCATAGATAAGGAAAAGAGACAGACTTGGCAGCTTTAACGATTCGACTAAATCTGTATTTTTTTATTGTAAAGCTTTATTCTTCCTCAACATGGGGTCCCAATGAACTGTCCAACTCTGATAAAAGATGAAGAAACGTTGGATTTTAAATAGCTACTTAGCAAGTTCAGGATGTCCCAAAGTGCTTCACTGACAATTAGAGGTGTAGGCACTGCAGTAACGTAGCAAACACAGTGGCCAATTCAGTACATAGTGTGATCCCACAAACACCAAATAGATAGTGATCAAGTAATCTGTTTTAGCGTAACCTAAGCAATAAATATTGACCAAGAAAGCCGGGACAACTTCTTTCTTCTCTTTGGAAATAGTGGCCCTGAATCTTATACACCCACCCGAAAAGGCAGACAGGACCTCAGTTTAACTTTTTATCCAAAAGACAGCACTTCTGACAGTGCAGCATTCCCTCAATACTGACCCTCCGACAGTGCGGCACTCCCTCAGTACTGACCCTCCGA